CTTCTAATCTATACACCACTGGGACCGGCCGGGTGTGTTTTGACCTGGCTCAGAACACTGATTCCATTTGTACAACAGTGGGACCGGCCGGGTGTGTTTTGACCTGGCTCAAAACACTGATTCCATTTGTACAACAGTGGGACCGACCGGGTGTGTTATGACCTGGCTCAAAACACTGATTCCATTTGTACAACAGTGGGATCGGGTCAGCAATACTGAAGCTAAGGGATGAGTGTTGAGGACACTCAGATGACACACTTGGATGAAACACTTAGATGAAACACTTGGATAAATAGTTGGATGAAACACCTGGATGAAACACCTGGATGAAACACTCAGATGAAACACTCAGATCAAACACTAAGATGAAATCAGATGAAACACACAGATGAAACACTCAAATGAAACACTCAGATGAAACACTCAGATGAAACACTCAGATGAAACACCCTGTCCCTTGCGTAGAGTACCAACCAATGGGAGTAAATGACCTAGTGCTCAAATCAAACACAGAGTGTCAAATTCCAATGACCAACGTCGATCACAATTGGTTATCAACGTCGATCACAACTGGCTGTTCACAAAGAGTATGAAGGAAGCAAGGAAAAACATTGAGGGGAAGAAAAGGATGTTCTTTCTTACAACAAGGATTGGGACCAGTTGAAAGCAGAGGGAGGGATCGGGCCAGAGAGGCTGTTGCGACTCAAGTCACTGACATGACAGGAAACAAGGAACGGGGGAGACCGTTGACGGGTTGATGATACAGCTGCAAAGCATCCATCTGTACCGGTACCGGCTAGGATAAATTGCACCGGCTAGGATAAATTGTACCGGCTACGATAAATTGTACCGGCTAGGATAAATTTTACCGGCTACGTTAAATTGTAGCGGCTACGAGAAATTGTACCGGCTACGATAAATTGTGCCGACTACGATAAATTGTACCGGCTACGATAAATTGTACCGACTACGATAAATTGTACCGGCTAGGATAAACTGTACCGGCTACGATAAATTGTACTGGCAACGTGTCGTGCAATGCTTACATAACATTCTACGATTCTTTAGCCTATATTTTAATCGCCTAAAAAACAGGTTGATACGATACAGCTGCAAACCATACCATCTGTACTGTACCAGCTAGGATAAAGAGTCCTGACAACGTGTAGTGGCCATCTGTACGGCTAGGATACAATGTCCTGGCAACTTCACCGGCAAATGTCATTCGAGCGGGACTAAGTGTGTCTCTCAACTGCCGTGCCAACTCACCCACTTTTTGCCGCGTTCCCCTTGCCTTGCCCACTGAACTGACCCAGTTTTCGCCCCCATTCCCACTCCCTTCGTCTCCTCTCCCTCCCTCCCTGTGTGCTGGCAGGGTGACACGTGTGACTCACTCAATGCCCTCTTCTCCACGCAGATACAGCCACTCAACCCCGCCCTCAACTGCTCTGACGGGCCCAGGCCCGGCCAGATGAGCAACGGTGCAGGTGTGTGTAAGGGGGTGTAGATGGGTGTAAGTGGATGCAGCCCATAGCACATTGGGGACTTTGGAGAGATGCGGCAATATCATGAGCTGACTTTTGAGTCGGCTCAAAAGTCGAATTCGGTGAGCTGTGGCATTATCACGGTATGACATGAATTCACATCGCACTGTATCAAATCGTATCGCATCGCGTCTAATCACTCACATCACATCACCTCACACAAAATTTAATGCATATTAACAACTCTCCCCTTCCCCCTCTCCACTCCCCTTTCTCCCCACTCCCTTCTTCCCCTCTCTCCTCCCCACCCCCACCCCCACCCCCCCCCCCCCCCCCGGGCTTCAGCTCCTCTGTGTAGACTTCAACCAAACGTGGCTAGAATTGGGAAAAACCCACCTGGAATGCAACCACTATGCGCAAATCACCCCAACCGCAACCACAACCCCATCCCCACCCACCCCCGCTGGGATTCAACCACCCAAGTCTAAGAGCCAAGGGGCGGCAATGACTGAGCCAATCCTTCAACCACCCCCTCTTGTAGCCAACTACGCGAGCCAAGGCATGCTCGTTACTGAGCGGGGCCCTCAACCACCTCCCCTCCTAGCCAACTATACAAGCCAAGGCGTGTTAGTGACTGTGCTGCAGGGCCCGCAGAGCTGCCAGCAGCTGTGGCGGGCGTTTGCCATCTCCTCCCCCACGCGCTTCTTCCAGATGAATCCCGGCGTCTCCTGCGACTCGCTGCTTCCACACAGCCCCCTGCAGGGCAACATGATGAGCAAGGTGCGCTGGGTTGCATGGCCTGTGTGTGGGGTGTGGGGTGTGGGGTGTGGGGTGTGCGGTGTGGGGTGAAAAAGTGAGGGTCATGCTCCTGCCACACAGCCCCCTGCAGGGCAACATGACGACTCGGGGGAGCTGGGCTAGGATGTTTTTGAGAATTCTTGAAACCTGAGAATTCTCTAAAACTCCCTGCTGGGCCAGGAAGGTCTGAGTATATTTTTTAGGCGCCTCAGAAACTGCTGGGCTAGGAGGGTATGAGTATCCGCTCTCTCACCTGCCTTGGGAAAAGCAGCTTTTGAGTCGACTCAGAACAAGGTGACTTTTGATACGACTCAAATGTCTGTTCGCACACTCATCTGGTATGAAAAATGGCCCCGTTAAGGGGGGTTGAAGGGGGGGAGAGTGAACCTTCTGCAGTGCCTTCATCCTTACACGCTTCTTCTAGATATCTAATATCAGCCTCTTGTGCGATCCCTTCCCTGCTACTATGCTTGCTTGCAGATTTGAGTGGCTGGCACCGACACGTGGCCGTGCTCTGGCTTTACATGTCCAACTAAGAGACGCTTTTCTAGTCGCCTAATAAATCTTTTCCTTTCCTCCCATTCCCACTGATTGGTTGACTTGCAGATTTGTGTGGCTGGCACGGACACTCGACCGTTCTCTGGTTTTATATGTGCGACCAAGAGACCGTACAGTGTGAAGCACGGGGATACATGCGGCATGTTGATCCCCAAGAAGTATCGGCGCAGCACTGATGTGTTTAGGGACCTTAACAATGGATATGATTGTACAGTGAGTAGGTTATATGCTGGCATGTTGCTTTGTTTGCCTTGAATAAGATAGGTAGTTCAATTTTACCGGTAATTTGTTATTGTAAGCTAAAATTGGAATGTTACGGCACCAAGTATGGTACAATGATCGCACTGTAGCATGCATTTTGTATCAGAAGCGCGGTATGGTGCTGGCAGCAGGGAAATGAGCCGGGTGGGCCTGATTACCCTGACTTTCAGGCTGTGTTTGTTTTTGTTTTACCTGTATGCAAATACTGTAGCAAATTTGTTACCAATTCAAAAGCAGGGTTTGGGAAGGCTGGCTCTGACTGACAGAGTGCCTGAGCCATTCTTATGTACCACAAGAACCTCAAAGAGAGTTCTTGTCATGTTGTGCACATAAAACAGGCCACTCCGTAAGCCTGTTCCTGCTAGACAAATCGCTCGCCCCACCTGATCTCATCAGGCCCGCCAAAGTCCCCCTTCCCCTATCCCTATCACCACTCCCTCGCTGCCAAAATCCCCTCCTGCCTTTCCCCACTCCTCCCTTCCCCACTCCACCCTGGACCAGACCCCCCTGTCTCTTCCCAAATCGCGTTCCTCTTGCTGCCGCTCCCTCCCTGCCCATTGCCCAAGTCCCCACTTGCCTGTCCCCACTCCTCCCTGCCCTGTCCAGTGCCCTGCCCAACTCCGCCCTGACCATGCCAATCACCATACCCCCCGCCCGCCCCGTGTCTTCCCGAATCCCCTTCCTCCTGCCGCCCCTCCTAACCCAAGTCTCTGTGAGCCTCCCGTCATCCTCCCCCATCGCAGCCCAAGCTCCACGCCGTTCGTACGGTACCGCTTGTCTTGTAATTAACCATCCCAGCGGCCCAAGGCCCCCTTCCATACCTCTTGAGTCGACTCAAAAGTCACCTTCCCTATCGCAGCCCAAGCTCCACGCCGTTCGTACGGTACCTCTTGTCTTGTCATCAACCATCCCCGAGGCCCAAGGCCCCCTTCCGTACCTCTTGTCTTGTCGTCAACCCATCCCTGCCCAAGCCTCCCCTCCCCTCAATACCTCGCGTCTGTCACCCCATCCCGGCCCAAGCCCCCCTTCCATACGTCTTGTATTGCCGTCGCCACGTCACCCCATCCCGGCCCAAGCCTCTTGTATTTGGCATTTACGCAGATGATGAGCGAATGAATATTAAGGTAGGCAAAGCATCATGCCAGTCCACAACTTATTCACGGTACAATCATATCCGTTATTAAGTTCTCTAAACATGTCAGCGCTGCGTCGATACCTCTTAGCAATCAGCAAGCCACACGTATCGCCGCGTGTCACAGTGTATGATCGCTTGGTTGAGCAGGTCAGGCCAGAGTACGGTCGAGAGTCGGTAGCAGCAACACAAACCTGAGAACCACCAAAAGTGGGGACAGAACGGAAGGGAAGAAAACACTTTTGATGCGCCACAAAAGTCGTTTCACAGTGTATGATCGCTTGGTTGAGCAGGTCAGGCCAGAGTACGGCCGAGAGTCGGTAGCAGCAACACAAACCTGTGAATCACCAAGAGTGGGGACAGAACAGAAGGGGAGAACAACTTTTGAGGCGCCTCAGAAGTCGTTTCGTTTCACACTGTATGGGCTCTTGGTTGAGCATGTCAGGCCAGAGTACGGTCAAGAGTAAGTAGCAGCCACTCAAACCTGAGAGAGGCACCGAGAGAGGGAACAGAACGGAAGGGGGGAAAACGTTGAGGCGTCTCAAAAGTCGTTTCACACTGTATGGCCTCTTGGTTGAGCATGTCAGGCCAGAGTACGGTCGAGAGTCGGTAGCAGCCACACCAACCGGCAAACCACCAAGAGTTGGGACAGAACAGAAGGGAACAATTGGCCTGAATTGGTAGGTAAGGAATCGCACGAGGACCCCCCAAGATTCTTACAGCAAGTGGAGGGGAAACTGCACACTCAGTCCCCCCTCCCCTCTCCTTCACCCACCCCCCCTCCCCTTCACTTCTCCCTTATCCCTTTCCCCACCACCTCCCACCGCCCTCAACCCATACACACGGGCATTCCGACTCACCTTCCTCATCATATTCCCCTGCAGGGGGCTGTGCGGCAGCAGAGAGTCGCACGAGAGGCCGGGATTCATCTGGAAGAAGCGCGTGGGGGAGGCGATGGCAAACGCCCGCCACAGCTGCTGGCAGCTCTGCGGGCCCTGCACCACAGTCACCAGCGCTCCGTCACTCGTGTAATTGGCTAGAGGAGGAGGTGGTGGAGGGCTGGGTGTGGCTCCGGTTGCTGTTGGGGTGATTTGGGCTAAGAGGTCGCATGGTACGCGGGTTTTTCCCTGTTCTAGCCACGTTTGGTTGAAGTCCACACATAGGAGCTGAAGAGGGGGGCGGGTGGGGAGGAGAGAGTGATCCTTGAGAGAGCGACTCAAACAATCGACTTATCAACTCTAGCCACGTTTGGTTGACGTCCACACATAGGAGCTGAAGAGGGGGGCGGGTGGGGAGGAGAGAGTGATTCTTGAGAGAGCGACTCAAACAATCGACTTATCAACTCTAGCCACGTTTGGTTGAAGTCCACACATAGGAGCTGGGACGTAGGGGCAAGGGGGAGCGGGGGGCAAGGGGGGAGAGGAAGCAGAGAGGAGAGAAGGGTGGGAGGATGTGTGAGTGAATACCCGCTCACACCTGCACACACCTGCACACACCTGCACTCACACCCACTCACACCCACTCACACCCACTAACACCCACTCACCCACTCACACCCACTCACACCCACTCTCACCCACTCACACCCACTCACACCCACTCTCACCCACTCGCCCCCATTCACACCCACTCTCACCCACTCACACCCACTCGCCCCCACCTGCACCCACTTGCACCCACCTGCACCCACTTGCACCCACCTGCACCATTGCTCACCTGGCTGGGCCTGGGCCCGTCAGAGCAGCTGAGCGCAGGGTTGAGCGGCTGTATCTGCGTGGAGAAGAGGGCATTGAGTGAATCACACGTGTCACCCTGCCGGCAGGCACACGGGCACGGGAGGGGGGGTGGGGATAGGGGGGGTGAGGGAAGGAAGGATGGAGGGAGAGAGTGAGGAAAGACAAACACAGGGTCATGGGCCCAGTAGAGAAGAGGGTGTTGAGTGACTCACACGTGTCACCCTGCCGGCAGGCACATCGGGACCGGACCAGGGACGGGGAGACGAGGGAAGGGGAATGGGGGTGAAAACTGAGTGAGTGGGCAAGGCCAGAGAGAGGAGAAGAGGGAGCTGAGTGAATCACGCGTGTCACCCTGCACTCCACACACATGGGGAGGGAGGGAGGGAGGGAGGGAGGGAGGGAGGGAGGGAGGGAGGGAGGGAGGGAGGGAGGGTGGGGGGGAAGGGGGGATGGAAGGATGGGGAGAGTGGGATGGGAGCAGGCAAACACAGGGTTATGGGGTGAGTGGTGGTGCGATAAAGAGAGCAGAGAAGAGGGCGTTAGTGCCAAAATCAAGTGCCAGGGGATTACATAAATGCTGCACTTACGTAAACGCGGGCACTTACATAATTAGCAGTGTACATGGCAGTGCATTGGGAGAAAGCCCGGCTGGTGATGTTAACCAGCGTGTCTACAGGGATGGGCGCTCTGCACTGGAACCCCTGCACGACGGGCAAGGAGGGGCAATGAGGGGCGGTGACACAATAAGAGGCAATGCAGGACAGGTGACTAGAAGGGGAGCAGAATTGCAATTGTCAGTTTTTTTTCAAATAACCCAACCAGCCAGATTGCCTTTTGAGTCGACTCAAAAATCGCTGTGTTGTGCCCTGTAACCTGTTCTGATCGCCTTTTCTGAAACACGTCACAAGCCTAACCTTGTTTTGGCTGAAAAAGTCGACCGGAGTGAGCCCGTAAGTGTTGAGGATAAGCGCGCATGTGACTTTTGCGGCGCCTCAAAGGCCCACCTGACTGACAACCTTTGTGAAATCCGTCAAGAGGCTGACCTAGAGGCTGACCTTGGTCTGGCTGAAGAAGTCCGCTTGGGTGAGCCCGTAAGTGTGATGCAACATCACCTGATGTGATGTTATGTGACATGACCAAAGTCTTTCATGCCTTGTTTTGGCTCAGAAAGTCTGCTTGGATGAGCCCGTAAGTGTTGAGGATGAGAGCGCATGTGAGGCCGTAGGGCTGTGATGCGATCACCTGATGTGATGTGACATGACCAAAGTCTTTCATACCTTGTTTTGGCTGAAGAAGTCCGCTTGGGTGAGCCCATAGGTGTTGAGGATGAGAGGGCATGTGAGGCCGTATGGAGACAGGAAGGTGGGCATTCGAACCTCGATCAATTGCACTGCATGCATGGGGTAAGCATGGGTTAAGCATGGGATAATCATTGGGTAAACATGGGGTAAAAAAGAGGTAGGCAAGTCACTGCAAGCAGCAAGGCAGAGGTGACGCTTGAATTGACTCAGATGCAAGAAGAGAAGATACAATTTCATCATTCAGAAGGATGGGCTTGATATCCAAGACCAACGTGAGCACTGAGTAAGCAGATTTTTGAGACGTCTCAAAATTGTTGAGACGCCACGTGTAGAAAGAAGATTTTTGAGACGTCTATTCAAGGTCATCATTCAGAAGGATGGGCTGGATATCCAAGACCAATGTGAGCACTGAGCAAGCAGAGCCAACAAACCAAGCTCTGTTTAAACCAAGTCCAGTGCCGCTTAAGACTAGGGCTTTAGGCGGCCAATGTGAGCACTGAGCAAGCAGAGCCAACAAACCAAGTGCTGTGCTGCTTGAGACTCGTCCAGGGATTTAGTCAGACAGCACCCTTCGAGGGCAAAGGCAGGTAGCAAGCAAGTAAGCAAATAAGCAAGTAAGCAAGGGCAAGACCAAAGTAAGGACTGAACAAGTAAAGCCAACAAACCAAGCTCTGCACTGCTTGATTTTGAGTCAACTCAAGGGCAGAATTAAAGCCCAACGTGAGCACTGAGCAAGCAGAGCGAACAAACCAAGCGCTGCGCTGCTTGAGACTCCATCCAGGCCTTTAGGCGGACAGAACCCTAAGCCCTTTGAGGGCAAAGGCAGGTAGCAAGCAAGGGCAAGTGTTACGCACACTGGTAACAGCGGGCAGAGCCTTTGGGGTAGAAATAGAAGGGGAAGTAGGGCGAGGGGCAGAGGCAGGAGTAGGTGCCGTCTATGTCGTCAATGCACACCCCCGGGGCACATGGGTTGCTGGCGAGCTGGCGACACGTGTAGGCCTCTGGTGAGGGGACGATGGGGGAGGGGAAAGAGAATTGGGGGGGAAGGGGGGGGCAGAGAGGGGAGAGAGGAGTGAGTGAGTGAGCAGCTGTCGATGCATCCCCCGGGGCGCATGGGTTGCTGGCGAGCTGGCGACACGTGAAGGTCTCTGGTGACGGGACGATGGGGGAGGGGGGATTGGGAAAATCAGAGTGAAAAGGGGGCAGGTATAGGAGCCATCTATGCTGTCTGTACACAGCATTCATGCACACCCCCGGTGCACATAGGTTGCTGGCGAGCTGGCGACACGTGAAGGTCTCTGGTGAGCGGATGGAGAGAAGGGAAGAGTAGGAAAATCAGAGGGGCAGAGGCAGGGGCAGAGGCAGGTGTAGGTGCCGTCTATGTCATCCATGCACACCCCCGGGGCACATGGGTTGGCGGGGAGCTGGAGACACGTGAAGGAATCTGGTTAAGAGAGGGAGAGAGGGGTGGGGTGGGGACGAGAATGGGGGGAGTGGGAAGAGAACAGGAGTGAGTGAACAGCACACCAGCACAACGTCAATGCACACCCCAGGGGCACATGGGTTGAGAAAGGAGGAGCAAGCGGAAATGAGGAGGGGGATGAGCCGGAGAGGGAAAAGGTGGTGGGAGAGAAAGGAGAGGAGAGGATAAAAGGGGATTCTGCAGGAGCAGCCATAGTGGATTGGAGTGCACACTTTTGAGAAATTTCAAGAGGAAATAAAACAAATCAGGAAAAAAAGTGTGTACGATTGCATATTCTCAAGGGAGTTGAGAATCGAGAACGAGTGCATCCCCATACAAACCAAAAGGGTACTTAACTCCACTTACCACACTCTACTTACCACACTCCACTTACCACACTCCACCTACCACACTCCACCTCTTGTCTACCGCACTCCACGTCTCACCTACCACACTCCACCTCTTGCCAACCCCACTCCACCTTTTGCCGACCGCTCTCCACACCTTGCCTACCCCACTCCACGTCTCACCAGGGAAGCAGGAGGGCAGGCCGGTAAGATGAGAAGGTTGGAAGGAGGGGAGATTGAAAGGGCACTTGCAGGAGGGCAGGAGGACAGACGGGTCCCACGGGGCAGGTGCCTTGGTGCATGCACCCATGCCACAGGGGAGCACTGGAGAACCCTTGCAGGGGTCGGTGTCTGATGGGGAGGGGGGATATGGAGAGCAAAGGAACGTGAGGAAAAAGGGTCTGCGGCAGGGGGGGAGTGAAGAGAGCGAGGGTGTGAGGCACGAGGATAGACGGGTCCCACTGGGCAGGTGCCTTGGTGCATGCACCCGTGCCACAGGGGAGCACTGGAGAGGCCTTGCAGGGGTCGGTGTCTGATGGGGAGGGATGAAGGGTGTGAGGCAGGCAGAGGGTGAGGTGAGGAGAGAGAGGGTGTGAGGCACGGGGCTAGATGGGTCCCACTGGGCAGGTGCCTTGGTGCATGCACCCATGCCACAGGGAAGCACCGGAGAGGCCTTTCAGGGGTCAGTGTCTGTTGAGGTGGGGAAGCAGTGAGAGGGACAAGGAGTGGGAGGGAAGGTGTTGGGGGGAGGAGAGGTGAGTCTCCCGTAAAGCAGGTAGGTAAGTTAAGGGGGAGGGGGGGATACTTGGCAACAAGATGAACGACCCTTACTTACTTCCCCCCTGGCTTTAAGTCGACTCAGAGGTTGCCTCCATTGCTCTCTCTCGGTGCTCTCTCGCCCTCTCTCCCCCTCTAACTAACTCTTCCTTCCCCTCCTTGGCCCCTTCCAATTCTCCCCACCTTCCCTTCTCTCCCCCTCCCACTGCCTTCTCATCCCCTCCTCCTCCTTTCTCCCTACCTGTGAATCGGAAGGTCCAGGAGGAGAGGGCGACGGGGGAAGGCAGGGCACGTGGCTCACTAGCCCTTCTCTCTTTCCTACCCCCCATCTCGCCCACTTCCCCTCTCCCTACCTGTGAATCGGAAGGTCCAGGAGGAGAGGGCGACGGGGGAAGGCAGGGCACGTGGCTCACTAGCCCTTCTCTCTTTCCTACCCCCCATCTCGCCCACTTCCCCTCTCCCTACCTGTGAATCGGAAGGTCCAGGAGGAGAGGGCGACGGGGGAGGGCAGGCGGCCAGGGGGGGGAGGGAGAGCAGCGCTGGTGAACCCAACGACCAGCTGCCCAAAGGATGGCGACGACAGGTCCGTCACACTGCTGCTGCTACCACTGCTGTCACCGCTGCCACCACTGCTGCTGCTGTTGCCGCCGCTGCCACTGCTGCTTCCACTGGTGTCAGCAGCACCAGAGAGAGCAGCACAGAGGTCAATGGTAACCCTCATGCGGGTTTTCAGAAGCGGAGGGCGGTACAACCTGATCAGCATCTCCTTGCTGCTCCCGTTATAGTCCACCCTCATCTGCCACACCTCGTCCGACTCCACAACATCTAACACCTTCTTTGCGAAAATTGACGTCATGTTGAAATCGGTGTTTACGCCGATGTGAATATCATTTATATCAGCCATTTCCGGGTTTGCTACAGTGTCCCATTCCACAGCTACACTCCGAGCGCCGTCCGGCCAGTTGCCATTAGCAAGTCGCGAGGATGGGTCCCGGCTGTATCCCATATAAGCCCCGCCTAGGCCCATGCTCGCGTGTGTGCTTATAACGAACGCGAGCCCATGGGAAGCGGATTTATTCATGGAAAACCCATATGTGAAGGTGAAAGAACGAGCCTTGCAGATTGGGGGTTCGGTTTTTGTGGGCTGGGGAGGTGAGGAGGAGCGAGGGGAGCTTTTGCGTGCACGAGGGAAGGGGGGAGGAGGGAAGGGAGGGGAGGAGGAGGAGTAGAGGAGGGGGAGACGGCGAGGGAAGTAGAGGGCTCCGGGAGAGGGTTCGTTGGTAGATGCCACGTCAGCAGAAGCAACGGAAAGGTCAGCAGCGAAGAAACGCTTCCGTGTGCTGCCACGTGTCAGCAGGGGAGTGGCTGGCGTGATGTAGGGGAAGGAGAACGAGTCTACCGCCCAAAACGGAAGCGGATCCTCCGCTGCTGGGGTTGGCATGGTATGGACGGGAGAGGGGATGGGAAGAGTGGGTGAAAGAGAGAGAGGGTTGGGGAAGGGGAGGAGACGAGGGGAGAAGGGGGGAGAATTGGCTGGATGAAAGTGTTGGTTGTCGCACGGATCATGCCAAGTCATGGGGTGAAAGCACGTAACCCAACGTAACCCAGCGTAACACAGACACCATTGCGGGTATGTAGTGCAACACTGCGGATACATATGAAATTATATGCATGCCTGAAACTGCTAACCCTGGCCCAGTTGCAAGTGATGGGAAACACGAAATGCCCAACAGAAGAACAAAAAGCACGGATGAGGGCACCTGAAATGACTTTTGAGTCGACTCAAAAGTCACCGAATTACAAAAAACACGGATGAGGGCATCTGAACTCACCCTCCCCGACTTGAAACCTCCACTCCAGCACCTCTTAAGGCTACTCAAGCACCTCAACCTCCCCGACGTCAAACCGCCACCCCAGCACCTCGTGTGCCTGAGCCTGCTCCGCCCCTATCCCGTCCCCCCACCCCACGGCTGTATAATTATCAAGAGAATTCCAGCAACTCACCCTCTTCGACTTGGAACGTCCACCCCAGCACCTCGTGCGCCTGAGCCTGCTCCGCCCCCTTGCCCGTGGCCGCTGTGAATCCCACAAACAGCAGCGGGGGGGGCGCTGCTGCCACCGGGTCGTTCCCCCCCAGCCACTCGCAGGTGTCCAGGAACATGGAGAGCACAGCAGAGCGCGGGAGAGGGCGGGCGGAGGCGGAGGAGGAGGAGGAGGCGGAGCGGGAGGAGCGAGAGAAGGGGGAGGAGGAGGAGCGAGACGACCTAGGGAAGCCAGGGAAACCAGGAAAGCGAGGGGAGTAGCGAGAGGGGGAGGGGGAACGGGGGGAGGAGGGAGCAGGGGAGAGCCAGACGGTGAGGAGGGAGGAGGAGGCGTTGTAGTGGATGGTGGCGAGGAGGGTCTGACCGGCGTTGAGGGACGGAATGCCGAGGGGGTGCACCGGGGCAGAGGCGAGAGAGAGCATGCTGCCGTGCAGGTTCACCCCCACGTGGTGGTCGGACCGGTCGAAGAATTCAGGGGAAGAGGATGTGTCAAACTCCACTGCCAGGCTCCGCTGCTGCTCGAATTGGGGGGGAAAGCAGGAAAGGTGGGATGGGGCATATTGAGAGATTCAGATGTAGAATTCCACTACGATAGCAGAAATATAAAGCTCGAAAGCACAATTACAAGTAACCAAAGATTAAAAATGTCAACCATGGCCAAGGATACATGCATACAAGTAACCAAAGATACACGCATACATATGAGCGGTGGTGACTTCGTTAATTGTTTAGCTGAGTTTTAGCGACTGAAATTCCGTAGACGAGAATTTCCGCGACCAGAATTCTGTCAACTGACAAAATGTAATTCCTGTTCCAGGAAGACTCTTTTGAGACAGTTGGGTCGAAAGATCTCCAGTTCAAATCTTGCTTGCACCATATATTGTCTGTTTGCGTAACTCATCCCAAATCTGTCCAGAGACACTGTATATTGACAATCACGGCTTCAAACCCATGGCAGCTTTTCCTTCTAACAAAGACATAATTCCAAACGTCATGACTGGTCTCGCCATGCCCAGACATCTAATTCCGCACCATTGAGACCGAGATTCGAAACACAAGAGGAGGTGTGCCTGAGATAAGGCTAAGATGACACGTACCTGAGATGACACTGCACCAATGGAGCCGGAATCATCAGCACCAATTCTATTCCCCGGGGGCAGCAGCAGGCGGCCGTAGCCCAGGGACGGCCCCGGAAGGCCGAGCGTGGGAGACGGCAGCATCACAAACGCCAAGCCCTCGCCGCCCAGCCCGGCGGCGTTGGGGGAGGAGATGCGGAAGGTGAAGGAGGTGGAGAAGGAGAAGGGGCGGCAGGGGGAGGAGGGCGTGGCGGGGTCGAGCAGGGCGAAGGGGGCGGGGTGAAGAGCAAGAGCAGCAGAGTTGAGGTTGGAGAGTGTGGTGAGGGAGAGGGAGGAGCGGTTGCGGCGTGCTGAGCCGGCTGTGAGGAGCGGGTGAGAGCTGGAGAGCGGCCAGTGGGTGAAGGACTTGAGAGGGGAGGGGTTGGCTGCAGGGCGGTGGGAGTGATGGGGAGTGGATTGGGATGGGGGAAGGTGAAGAGGGAGGAAGAGTGGGAGCAGAAGTGAATTGAGGGATCGATGAACAGAGCACGAGTGGGTGGTTAAATCTTGGTTGTTGAGCATGTGTGCAGTGAATTCTTTCAATGCGCGGCGCAATGCATGCTTTCTGCCACACCTGAGACACACCTGAGACACACCTGTGACACAACTGTGGCACACCTGTGACACACCTGTGACACACCTGTGACACACCTGAAACACACCTGTGACAAAACCGTGACCCTGCTTCTCTCACTCACAGCGAGTGGGCACAACAGACGCAGGGTCGATAGCCGTGCCGCCCGCTTCCAATGCCACACCCACTCTCACCAACCGTCTGTCCGCACGTACCCCCCCTTCTCACTCACCTGGGGCTCTATACCTCCCCACCTCGCCCGCCCTGCATCCACCTGTTCCTCTCTCACTCACTGCGAGTGGGCATGACAGATGCAAGGTCGATGGCAGTGGTCCCCGCTTCCAACGCCACTCCCTCTCTCTTCACTCCCACCTTCGCTCCCGCTCCTGCTCCCCCTCCCGTACTCGCAGCAACAGTGAACGCAGCTGCTCCCGGCCTTGCTCCCACACCCTCCCCTGCCGCTGCCGCAGTGAGGGATTCCGATTCCGCACCAGCTGCTTGCACTGTTCGCGCTGCTGCAACCCGTGATCCCCCCACACCCTCCTCTGCTGCCGCTGCCACTGCCGCAGTGTAAGATGCAGTCTCCGCACCAGCTGCTTGCACTGCGGGCGCTGCAGCTGATGCTGCTCCTACTGCCGCTGCTCCTGCTGCTCTCGTGCGGCCAAAGCTCCGCAAATGACGTGGCCCCCAGGTCTTCCTAAGTAAGGAGACGGGTTGTGTAGGGAACCGCATTAGCCTTTCCAGGGCGGATGCAGCGCGGGTAAGGTGGGGGTGTAGAGCGGATCGGATTAGGAGGCCCACGGAGGAGGAAATGGTGAAGCCGCCGCTGCTGCTGCTTCTGGTTGTGCTGGTGATGGTGGCGCCGATGCTACTGCTGTCACTGCTGCTACTCGCGGTGGCGATACTGCTGGTGGTGGCGACGGTGGCAGTGCTGCTGCTGCTGTTGCTCCCTTGCACGCCTCGAATTACCAAATGCAGTGCCACTCCCCCGGGGGGAACAGCCAAAGACAAAGGGGAAGAGGCGGAGGAGGAAGTGGAGGAGGAGGAAGCGGAGGAGGAATCCGGGGGGTCAGGGAGGGGGAAGAGGAGGGGTCCCACGTGGAACCAAGGCAAGGCGCCGGACAAACTCGCGCTGCTCGCCCCACACGGCACACCCACCCGCCACTCTCCCCACACCTGCTCCCCCGCCCCTCCTCCAGCTGCTCCCCCTTCCCCTGCTGCTGCTGCGGCGGAAGCGTTCAGCGGAACTGCCAGCAGCAGCACCTTCAGCAGCCGCTCCGCCTTCCCTTCCGCGCCCCCTTCCCCCTCCGCGCACAGGCTGGCGCGCGCAAAGAACGAGAGCGACAGCTGGCGCGGGGACTGCTGCTGCTGCTGCGCCTGCCGTGACGCATTGCTAGTCGGCACCGCAGGTTTGAGTTCGCACAGCGCTTGCGCCACGCCAGGGCCGCCAAACGGGCGAGTAGTACCATCGCTACTACTATTGCTGCTACCAGAAGCGCCGTCGCCATTAGACGACGTGGAAAAGGCGGAAGACAGCCGTAGAAACCGGGACCCATCAGCTGCCAGTAGGGTGTCCGAAACCCCCGTGACCCCGTCCTTTATTGACACGTCAGCAGGCGACGCCGCTCCTCCTGCTGTCGCGACCGCGGGTTTCGCCAGTGTCGCACCCGCTGGCGCGAGCATTGTTCCACGAAGTCCGCCGCCATTTGCGGTGGCTAAGAACTCGTCGCTTAAGATTGCTTCTCCAGGTTCCAACGCGCGCCACGGGAATAAGTACGGCCATGGATCGCATGACGCGTTCAGCTTCTTGCGACGCCAACCTATATCGAGACAGCTTGTATCGAAACTTGGGTTCGAGAGGAGATTTGAAGATTCACCTGTGACGGTCAAAGACGAGGGGGTATAACGGAAGAGAATAGGAGATTTAGAGGTTAATTGAGCGGATAGCAAACGAAACTTCAAAAGATACATACAGTGTTGCCAGCTCAGCTGAACGCTGGCGGCAACATCTAGGGCATGAACGAATAAACGGGAGGAGCGGAATTCACACCGGGAAAGCGACCGAAAGGTGGCTTACACTCGGAGGAGGAAGAAGGGGGTATGGTAGGAGGCAAAAGGAACGAGTAAATCGTGGAATTATGAATACGCTTGGAGAAGGATGGCTGCTATATGGTGGCTCGTCTCCACTAAAGGCGTGCTTACGACTCGACTAGTACTTCATTTTCAGGCGACGATACCGTAATTGGAAGTGATACCGAGAACGGGAGAAGCGGAGCCTCTTACTTAAAATCGTTAGGTTATAGCAGTCGACGAGACCGCGAGCGACACGAACGAAGGCTACGAAATAGAGGAGAAACGTAACCCGTCGGATTTTCGCGACACAGTGAAGGCTCGTGGCCCCTGGGTGAACCCGCAATCTGCGGCGACAGATGCGGAACCAATTCATCTGCTCTGACATGGTCTCGGAATGAAAATTTTCTGAATAAAATACGCGCTGCGATCGGTTGCATTCTAAAAGAGGCGTCGGAAGTTTCTGAGCAAATCCCGGACTGACACTTGCCATTCCAAGCCGGCCTGTTGCGGCGAGCATATTGGGACTGCGCGGAGCGAAGCTATGGCGATCACCACATCTTCTACTCGAGGAAAGGGTTGTTCTGGTGGCATGGCATGGCATGGACATGTGGGGAGTGACAATAGGGTGAAAGGTGCCTCAATGCACTGCAAGCTGCCAGTCAGTCCCCCCCTAAGGGCGCGTCAGATTTGTTACAAGGCGATTTGGCCGAAATTTATTTGACAGTTTGGTCGACTATATCTTTCGCCAAAGTCGACAACATGGTGGAGTTCAATAACGACCAATATCCGGCCACATTTACAGGGCCGAAAAATCTGACACATTTGGTGGCCGATTTGATGGCCGCTTTGCAAATGTGTCAGATTTGCAGTTCGCCACGGTCGATTGGATTGTGCGACAGAGTCGCATTGGCAGTATTTGTGTGACACGTTGCGTCGCACGAGCTGGCGACGTCGTGTAGTGACTGTAGCGATCTCAGGTCGACAAATCGGTCGAATTTCGAATCGACTGCCCGTCCGAACTTTGTCGAATGCTGAACCGGCCATCAATTTTTTTACAAATGGCCGGATTTAGCGAGCCCTTCGAAAATCTTTGCGGATGTCGCGAGCGTGTTACCTTTGCTACCGGCCGGCCGGATTTCCCGAAAACGGATCTGACGCACCCTAACCTCATCATACTGAAGAGAGTTCCAGTTGCACTTGGCCACTCATCTGCCAAAGTGCGTGTCGGTGGGTGGAGAACTGTGGAAGGTAGGTTGGAGTGGCAGCAGCCAATCGCCGCAATCGACTTGCAGTCACCGCACTGCAACCATGCAATTCTATACTGAAACTTGGGGAACCGTGACCAAACACTTATACAGGGTGAGATGAGGGGCAATCCAACTGGATTGATCCCCGACGTGCACCGTTTCTTCAACTTGGCATGATGTGGAAAGGCAACACGAGGTGCATGAATACAGCAATTCCTACCTAAGTGTTGCCTTTTGGTTTCTGCACGCTCTCCATTTATAATCAGCACAAGACCATTCTGTTGTCATTTATGGGTTGTGGGACGCACCACGCCACGCATGGGACAAGGCGGTGCACGGAAGTACACCGAATGCGCTCTTCTGGAAATCAAATGTTTCTGGGCAATTATTCCGCCCTCGGTTTCAGATAATATGCGGGAAGGTACCCCAATAATATTCGTATCAGCTGTCATTTATTCTTGGGGTACACAGAATCCACATCCAACCACCGACAAAACAGTTTCGAGAAATTGCTGGATGGCAGGGATGTCGCTTCAAGAGCATTTACCCTGATTGGGGCTACTGTACTCTACAAGGCCTTCTTCCTGAAAGTAGAGGAATAAATATGGTGTGCCACAATATTCTTTGAAGTTCTACCCCCTCAACTACAAAAAAATATATAAATGTATAGATGTATAAAGGAAAAATGTATAAACTATTAATTAATATAGAATTTCATAGATCTATTTGAAACACCCTCTTAACCGCCCCTCACTCCTCCGAGTTTCCTCCGACAGAGGCTCCGTTGCAGACTCGTTACATGGACGTGTGGGGCCCCGCCCGCGTCCGTGGCCAGGGTCATGAGCGTTACTTCCTATTGGTGGTTGACGACTACTCATGTTACACCACGGTGTTTCCCTTGCGCAGCAAGGGTAACCTGACTGAGATGTTGATCGACTAGATCCGCGCAGCTCGTCTCCAGCTAAGAGAGAGTTTCGGCTCGGACTTTCCTGTTCTGCGTCTGCACTCTGACAGAGGCGGGGAGTTTTCCTCTGCCCATCTGGGAGCCTTCTGTCGGGCACAGGGCATCCGCCAGACCTTCACGCTTCCGGCCTCTCCACAGCAAAATGAGATTGCTGAGCGCCGCATTGGCATGGTCATGGACGTCGCTCGTACGTCCATGATGCATGCGGCTGCCCCCCATTTTCTGTGGCCGTTTGCGGTTTAGTACGCAGCGCATCAGCTCAACCTTCAGCCCCGGATCTCCTTGCCAGAGACCTCCCCCACCTTGCGGTGGACGGGGAAGGTTGGCGATGCGTCTGCATTTCGGGTCTAGGGATCTCGGGCGTTTGTCCGCGACTTGTCTGCGGACAAGCTGTCCTCCCGTGCTGTTCCCTGCGTCTTCCTTGGCTTCCCCCCTGACGCGCCAAGGTGGCAGTTTTACCACCCCACCTCGCGCCGTGTTCTGTCCTCCCAGGACGTCACCTTTGACGAGTCGGTGCCTTACTACCGTCTCTTCCCCTACCGCACTGCGCCCCTCCCCCCGCCGCCGCTCTTCCTTGCACCAGATCCTCCCCCGGTAGACCCCCTCCCCCCTTAGGGTCCTGCTCCGTCAGGTGTGTCCCAGGTAGACGCAGTCGAGCCTGTCGAGATAATTGTTGACTCTGGTGCCACTAGAGGTGCTGAGCCTGCGCGTGCCGAGTTCGGAGGTGCTGAGTCAGGGGGTGCTGAGCCTGGGGGTGCTGAGTCTGGGGGTGCTGAGCCTGGGGATGCTGAGTCTGGGGGTGCTGAGCCTGGGGGTGCTGAGTCTGGGGGTGCGGATCCTTGGGGTGCGGAGCTTGGGGGCGCTGGGTCTGCTCGTGTGGCCGCTGGCGGTGCTTCGTCGAGGCGGGAGCCACACTCTCCAGAGGAGCTGCGCGAGTGGTTTGCCCGGCGCTGGAGCCGTTTTGCTAGAGCTGGAGGTACTACTGTTGTTGCTGGTCCCAGAGGTGCTCGTACTGGCGGTACTGGAGCTGCTGGGGCTGGGGGTGCTGCTGGGGCTGCTGGAGTTGCTCGTGCTAGAGCTGGTGGCGGTACTGGAGCTGCCGGTCCTGCTGGAGTTGGTGCTGCTGGAGCTACTGGAGCTGGAGCTGCTGGAGGTGTTGGCGCTGGTGTTTCTGCTAGCGCAGGTGCGTCTGAGGGTGCTAGAGCTGGCGCTGTTGGAGCTGGAGGTGCTGCTGGCGCTTGTGCTGTCGCTGGGGGTATTGGTGTTGTCCTTACTGGTTCTGGATGCGCTGCGCGACCGCGGCCGTACTTCGTTCCGCTCCTTGAGCAGGTTCTTGGTCTCCCGCCCTCTATTCGTCCTGCTCCTCCCTTAGAGTGTCCACAGCCTGTCCAATCGCAGTCATAGTTACCGCCCGCCTCCCCCCTACCTGCTCCTTCTCCCTACACTGGTCCTACTGGAGGTCTTGCTGAGCGTCGTGAGCCTGCGTCTCGTCCTGCGTCGCCTGTTCGTGCTGCTCGCACTAGTCGTCGTGTTCCGCGTCCGCGTCCTCCTGCGGTCCCAAGCGCACACCAGATGGCGTTGCGTCCTTCCACTGCTCCTCTGCGTGTCCCGTTGCCGTCTCCTCCAAAGTCCTCTCTTCCTGTCCTTGTTGACGCGGAGTCTGACTCTCTTCGTGCAACCAGTCCTACTGTCACGCGTCTCCTGGCCACTGTGGTCACTGACCCTTCCTTCGAGTCCACTGCAGCGTCGAACCTAGTTGCTGAGCTTGTCGACTTTGCTGCTCGCTGTCGTCTAGACTACGCTGCTAGTCTTGTTGCTGAGCCCGAGTCTGTCTGTCCTCCGTCCGTCGGGGGTGAGTGTGCTCTTAGCACGGACGTCTTTGAGGACAGGCAGGAGGAGTTCAAGTGTTTTGTTGCTACTTTGCCTCATCTCGTGTCCACGCTAATTGCCTCTGAGGGAGACCCGGATGCACCAGACATCTCGACTCCTCGATCGTATGCTGAGGCGATCGAGGGTCCCTACTCCTCTAAGTGACAGCCACCCATGGATGCAGAGATAGCTTCCTCGAAGTCCACAGGCACCTATGTCGACGAGGTTCCCCCACCTTGGGCGAACATCGTCAGTGGCATGTGGATTTTCAGTGTAAGGATCTGGGATCAAGCTCAGAAAAGATGATTCAAATTGAATTGAATGTTCACCTGGGTACAACACGAGGCTATATATAGGCTCGACACAAGGCCCCGTAACCAGGTGTTACGCGAAGGTTCCGCGGGTCGCGAAGCGTCTCGAACAGATCCTTACCGAATTCGGTAGAAGGCAATTCGGTGGCAACCGAAAAGCCAGAATTCGGTGCACGCAACATAGCTCGGTGCTTTAACTATAATAAAATATAGGAAAGCACATAGCCTAGGAAATCAAGCAATTCATGCATGCATATGATTATCCTATGCTAGAAATGGCATGATAAAGTAAAGGCAAGCAAGCATAGCTGGCATAAGCCGTCGTACTCTCACACGTCCCCCCCTCAAAGCTGGGTGGCGTGAGATACACCCTGCTTGACAAGATAGTCTTTGAGAGCACAGCGTGCGTTGCCCATATCAGCTTCTGCAACCCAACTGTCCTCAGTGGGGTCGTATCCCTTCGAGAGTCTTGCCACCGCGGCGCCGATGAGCGAGAATGCGCTCGATCTTGTACTCGAGTTCATCCTGCACAAGAACAGGTGGTGGTGGCGGTAGCCGCCGTCCCTGGAACTGCTGGTTGGGGTCCTTGTAGGGTTTCAGTAGCTGGACATGGAAAGCGTTGTGAAGCTTCCATGTATCTGGTAAGCGCAAGCGGAATGTAACTGGTGTCACCTGTGCCTCAACGAGAAAAGGACCACAGAAGCGAGGCCGGAGTTTGGATGGGAGGTGAGACAGGTTCAAGTTGCGCGTATCAAGAAGCACCTGATCTCCGACTGCTACTGAGTGATCACGTCGCTGACGATCGGCATACTGCTTCTAGGAGTTCTGCATCGTGGTGATACATCACTGAGTCTTCTCCCATAGCTGCTGCATGGTGGTGACGAAGTCATGTGCGGCTTGGACGTGTGCCGGTGTAGGTGGCTGCTGTGGTGTGAGTGGTTCCCGTCCGTAACACAGGAAGAAAGGAGTTTTCCCTGTGGCCGCATGTGATGCGTTGTTGTAAGCGAACTCTAGGGTCGGTAACTGTGTGTCCCAGTGGCTGACGTCATCCTTGCAAGCTGTGCGCAGTAACTGTTCAACCACTTGATTGAGTCGCTCTGTCTGTCCGTCAGTCTGGGGGTGGTATGCTGAAGACATTGCAAGCTGCGTCCCCAACAGTCCCATGAGCTCCTTCCAGAACTTACTCGTGAATTTGGGGTCTCTGTCTGAGATGAGTGTAGCGGGGATGCCGTGGATGGTGATGATGCGGTCGAAGAAGAGTCGAGCAGTTGCTTCAGCTGTAGCTGTGGCGTTGGTCGGTATGAAGTGACCCATTTTGGAGAACTTATCGATCACCACGAGGATGGAATCATGTCCCCGTGAGGTCGAAGGAAGTCCTGTGATGAAGTCGAGGCTAACGACCTGCCATGGTTGCTCCGGTACGGGTAGAGGCTGAAGTAACCCTGCTTTTTTCTGCTTGCTGCTCTTCATCCGCTGGCACGTGTCCCATGAGGTGACAAACTGCTGCACGTCTGCTGTCATCCCGGGCCAGTAGTAATACTTCGCTATCCCTGCTAACGTCTTGTTGCTCCCGAAATGTCCCACGTAAGGTACGTCGTGAAACTCCTCCAATAGGATCTGCCATAGCGGGGCGTAATTCGGTACCCAAATCTTTCCTGAACCCTTCCTTACAGCTAAGTCTTTCTCCCACTGTAATAGCTTCTTGGTCTGTGCTGTAGCAATCTCTGCGTCCACGGAGTACCCATGTTGGAATAGACCCTTGAGCAGAGGGTTCATCCTGTCGAGCTGGATGCCTGCTACATGTCCGGGGCGGCTCAACGCGTTTGCCTTGTTGTGTAGCCCGGGCTTGTAGACGATGTCGTAGTGGAAGTGAGTTTCCAGGAAGTCCACCCACCGCACCTGTCGTCGTGAGAGTGTCGGCTGTGACTTCAGGTATTTGAGACTGCAGTGGTTAGTATAGACTATAGTCTTGGCTCCCTCTAGGTAACACCTCCACGCCTTGAAGGCTATGACTATCGCTAAGACTTCCTTGTCGTGAATGGGGTAGTTTAGTTCTGCTCCGTGTAGCTTCTTACTGAGGTAGGCAATGGGCTGCAAACCGCGTCCGTGATCCTGCATCAGTACTGCTCCGACTGCTTGGTCACTAGCGTCTGCTTCCACCACGTAGTCCTTGTCTGGATCCGGCAAGATGAGTACTGGCGCTGTAGTCAGTGCTGTCTGTAGCTGCTCCATGGCTTGCTGATGAAGGGTATCCCATTTGTAGGGCGTATCCTTTTTTAGTAGGTCGGTCAGTGGCGCTGCTATCTTAGCGTACTGCAGCACGAACCTGTTGTAGTAGTTGGCGAAGCCTAGGAACTGCTGTAACTCCTTCACGTTCTCTGGTACTTTCCACTTCTTGACGGCTTCGATCTTCCGTGGGTCCACGTGTACGCCCTTGGCACTCACCATGTGCCCGAGAAACTGCACCTTCTTCAGGGCGAAGTCGCTCTTTGACAGCTTCACGTAGAACTTGTTTTTCCGCAGGATCTCGAACACCTTCCGCAGATGCTCCACGTGCTCCTTCATGTTCTTTGAGTAGATGAGAATGTCGTCCAGGTACACCACCACACATTCGTCCAGCAAGGGTCGTAAGATGTGATTCATCTCCGCCTGAAACGTTGCTGGTGCGTTGCAGAGTCCGAACGGCATCACCAAGTATTCGTAGGAGCCGTATCTGGTACGGAACGCTGTCTTGTGGACGGAGTTGTCTGCCATCTTGATCTGCCAGTAGCCTGATCGTAGGTCCAGCTTCGAAAATACTGTTGCTCCACGCAGTTGATCGAGTAGGTCGTCTATGCGCGGTATGGGATATTTGTTTTTGACTGTTTGTTTGTTCAGTGCGCGGTAGTCGATGCACATCCGTAGACTGCCGTCTGGTTTTGGAGTGAAGAGAACTGGTGCGCCGTAGGGAGAGGTGGATGGGCGGATCAGTTGTCTGTCCAGTAGATACTCTATCTGTTTTTTCATGTCTGTCAGTTCAGTCGGACTCAGTCGGTATGGTGCACGTGAGACGGGTTTCGCACCTGGTTCCTCCACGATCTCGTGCTCGTGGGTGCGTGCTGGAGGTACGCCTGCAGGAAGGTCGTCGGGCATTATATCCTTGTACTGCTCCAAGACCTCTTTCACTGCTACAGGTAGCTCGGAACTCGACTTCTCCTCTGCTGCTGCGATAACCAGTGCTAGGTAACCCGTGTTACTCTTGTTCACCGTCTGTTCGAAACGTGCCGGTGTCGTTTCAGGTACGTCCCCTGTATCCGTCCAGCTTCGCAACTCCACTCGTTTCCCGTTGTTGTAGATGCACACCTTGCTGTTGACCCAATCGATCTCGGGGTTGAACTGCTTCAGGAAATCTCGCCCCAAGATAAAATCTAATCCTTTGATGTTGGTGACTGGTAGCTTCGGCTTCCACCTCAACGCACCTATATGCAGTTGCAGTGATGCTTCGCCGTGGATAGAAAGCTTCGTACTGTCCACCATGGTTGCTGAAAACTGGGTCTCTTCCGCCTTCTCTCCAATTTTCTCCAGTGCTCCGCGGTCACACACCGAGTGAGATGCAGCGCTGTCTACCAGTGCCTGGAGGCGTCGCCCATTGCATAACACCTCAAGGAGTAGTGGTTTGTGCTGTGCTGAGTAGCCAAAGAGGGTCTCGTTAATAGGGTCATAGGGTACATCAAACTTAATACCTTCCCTTTTTCCTATACCTGACTCAGCGCTTTCCAACTTCACCTGGGGGGTAGGAGGATTTTTCCGAGGCTTGTATACTTTTTCCTGAGCCTGGATGTCTCCTCTAAGCCTTGGCAGCTGTGTAGGCTTCACCTGTGGGCGACGGGGAGCCTTAACACTGTGCTGCGGGGAGAGAATATTTATTCCACGGAACGCACGACCCTTCTCTACGCTCCGTAGTATTTTGCCCAACTTCTCAGGTACCTGAATAATTTCTTAAGGCTTTTTCTTGGCCTCTAGACCTCCCCTGAATTTTTTGAAGGCTTGTAAACCACGAGAAGCAATATTCTTCGTTAGAGCATCTTTATAGGATACTTTTAACGAATTCTTACTTTCGTGGGTGTTCGGCTGGAGTTTCCCGGTCGGTGCAGAGTCTTTTTTCGCGGAGCCTCCATTCGCCTCGGCGATTTCCCCTGATGCCGGCCGTTCGTGACGTTTTAAATTTGCGCCATCATTTTCTCCTTTTTTCACCCGCTCCGAAGTCGCCACGTCGACGCCTTTTCCTACTTTTCGGATCTTTACGCGATCGCCAGGTCGATCCGCGGCTACTGGCGATTCCCGTTTTTTTACTTCGGGGGTGCTCCACTGTTTCCGTCCCGGAATGCCGCACGTGCTTTCTTCATTTTGTAGCACGAGAAAAACTGATGTCCTGCTGCGCCGCAAAATTCGCATTTTGTCGGCTGCTGCTTTGCGTCGTATTTGTCAATATCCATCGGTTCGGTGAACGTGGGGGGTGCCGATCGCTCCGTGCCGAATGTACGGTTCGGCGTGAAGCGTCGTGTTTCGGGTTGACTTCGAGTCAGCGCGTCGTATCGCTCGGCACCACGCACGATGTCTCTGTAGCTGTTGTAATTAGCCGCAATCACCTGCCGCCGAATCTCCATTTTTAATCCTTCGGTGTACGCCTGGATTTTTTCGCCTCCAATCAGGTCGGTGATGCGGTTGAACAGCAAATCCATCTGCTGCGTGTACTGTGTTACACTACTGTTTTGTGTGTGTCGGTGTATCTGCTGCCGCGCCATGTAGGTTGTATTAATTGGTTCGAAACGCTCGATTGAATCTGCCCAAAACTGCTGCCACGTTTTCTCCCCG